CAAAAAGGAGAATTGTCAAAAAGTATAGAAACAAGTTGAATCAAAATGCAACGATTATATTTTCAAGCCTAAAAAAAGAGTAAACAAACTAGGCTGGAAATAGTGTCTGTTATTTTCTCAAGCAACAAAATCCTATTCTGACTCCATGTCTACAGTACTTATCAATTTTATTGGAGTCAAGATAAGGATTTGTAGCTTAAATAAAATAATGTAGCCTAATTTGTTTATGTTTTTTAGAGTCCCTAGTTGTAGGCTTGATCTCAGCATTTTGATTCAACTTGTTTCTATACTTTTGACAATTCTCCTTTTTGAATTAACAATTTTTAGTTATATTGTTTCTTTATACATTTTTTATTATTTATTTATGGAGAATAAAGTTTAAACTACATACGTGCATATGCATTCAGTTGAATGTTAGATATTTTTTTTAACAGTTTACTGCTGCATTGGCTATTTTTCCACCCAGCCATTATTTACTGACTCAGGTGGTTTTGTGCCTGCGGTTTCATCTAAACATGCATTTAACAAGCATTGAGTACAAAGAAAGCTGCTCACAACAACATTGCGTACATCAATTTACATTTATAGCCATGTAAATCAACTTTTTAAATAGGTCATGGAAATTTGCAATGTTTCGTATAGTATATCTGTCTAGGTTTTGGTGCAAAATACCCAGCCGATTTTGCTGTAGGCTTGTGAAACAAAAATAATAATAATAATAAAATAATACTAAAATATACATTCACAATTTCAGCAAAGTACAAAAATCATTAGAATAAATCACCACTTACAAGAGTAGAGAAATATACTGTGGTAATCGTCTACTGTTAGAAAACTCACTGAAATAGTCGCAGAAAACCATGTAGAGACAAAGTACAACAGGAAACTTGAGATACAACGAAGAACACCGAACTCAAGAGGTGATGAATCCTCAAAGTAGCAGTTTCCAATTAATGTGCATTAGTAAAACACCGGATATTTTCAACAGCAGAAAGTGAAGGTCTTAGAGAAATTCATTGAGATAAAAAAATGAAGGCGCTTGAATTAACTTTAAAACTACCCTGTGACATACTCAGTACTGCATTCATTACTATTGTCCATGTTTTAGTAAGATATTCCTAGCTGTTTTTTTTTGTGACTTGTAAAACTATAATACATAATAATAAGGCTGGAGACTGTTGTAAATATGTACATGTTTACTCTAATAAAACAAAGCCTTTCCAACTAGTATAAAACAGAGCATTTCCGACTAGTATAACGGTGCTTAAATGGCTTCCATGTTTCTGCGATGCTTGAATGTCTTTGAAAAGTTTATTTTGGTAGCAAAGAAGAACTTAGAAAATAGTAGAAGGTGGAAATCTCAACTTTCAAGAATCAACTTAAAAATAGCTCTACAACCTTCGCAGGAGTTTGTTTAGTAGCTGTGCATAGAATTTGGCACAGTATACCTAGCTGTTTTTGCTGTAGGCTGCGGTGCTTGAATGGCTTCAGAGAAACTTGGCCAGTAGCAACGAAAGAAACTGATAAAATCTTTCCTTCTCTTTCAAGAATCAATATAGTCCTACTGACCTGCACAGGAGTGTTTTGTAGTAGGTTTGCCCAAGTTTGAATAAAATATTCATAACCATTTTTTTCTGTAGGCTTGTGAAACAAGAAAAATATGAATAATAATAATATGAAGAACAAATGGACAAATTTCGAATTTTGTCTAACAACAATCAGAAAATCAACTTTTTTGCTTATCAATATTTTAGCAGCCTTAGTCATTGAGATAGAAGATCTTGAGTACTGTTTCAAGAACAAGTCTGCTTTGTAAGATGGTTTTTGCCCATAAGTTCTATTACAATTTTTGTGAAATTTCTGGGCAATCCCTATTATTAACCACTATCGTGGTTCACGATATAGGCATTGGAAGCATCTCAGATTCTAGGAGTGGAATTCCTTCAAGGACAAACATACTGTAATTATTGTTTGATATTTGTGATGTTGAGGCGATGAATGCTCAAAAATGTGCATATGCAAAAACAGCTTAAAGATACTACTGTGTATTCTAAAAACCTATTAATTGTTATTTCCAGATGATCAACCACAATTTTGAAATAAATCATTCTTTAATTATTTTGAGAGTATTTTCACAAATTAATTGTAGAGGTTGAAAAAGGTAAATTTGTGTGTATAATTTTTTATTCCAAAATACTATTAAGGTGTTTAATTTAGTCAGTTGAAGTAATTTTGAGAAATAGTCTTAAAAACTTCCAGGTGAGTGGCTTACCTCAATAACATACAGCCCCCCTCGACAAAAATCACTTACTTGTCGGCTACTTTCTTCAAAGAAGAGACTTCTTTTTCAATTTCCTGAAGTTGTTTCTGTTTAGTATTTAGTTCATCCTGAAATTCTTTTAGCTGTATCAAATGAAGCAAAACACTACTGCTCTGGGGCATGGCACCTAGTAAAATAAACTTAGATGTAAACCAGACAGTAGATGAAGAGCAATTTAATAGCTTAATTTTGTGAAGTTTTAGTACATTGCACTTACCCTTTTGTCAAAGATTACCAAGAGTCAAAGTTGTTATTATATATAATTAATATATTACATGCTATTAAATATTAATAGCAAAATTAGATTCCTCTATAACATAAGTTAATCTGATATTAGTGAACTTACTACTCTTTAATATCTTTTCAAAAAATACATAAGGCACTATAAAAAACTGCAAAAACAGCTTTTATAAGATATATGTAGAGCATAGAACTACCAAATAGGGTATGCATGCTTTAATATTTAATGTTATAAAGGAGAAAATTAAATATTAAAATAAAAAATCAAATTCATAAAAACAGTTAATAATCCTGTAGTATGCAAACATTATAGCACATGAATCACATTAAACAAATACAGATGAAACAACGCTGGGTCATTACATCTTGTTTACTGGGATTTGACTCCACTTCATAAAAACTATATACATATAT